AAAGAATAGCTGTAGGTAATTTGGGGAGGGAAAAAGGTTCTCCTTTGAGAATCCATTGTTATAGTTTAAAGTTTGCTTCCTCTAAATAATAATGGCTTTCAATATGCAAGCACTGTTCGTTTCATGTGTCTAACTTGACTGGAGGTGAATGTGGCACTCCCAGAATGTATAGTGACCAATGTCAGTGTCTGTGTCTCATTCCTAGTCGTTTAAAGGCTGCCTGGAAGTTTGAGGCCGTCTGGGAGTGCATGCAATGCAGACAGGCAGACAGGAACATTTGAAATCTAAGCCAGAAATGGAAATGTGATAGTCTTCCTAATTCCAAACTCTTAAGAGACCAAAAACTACAGGAGAAAGTGTAAATGACTATCTTAATATAGACACCTCACAGCAACATAGCAATCTCACTTATTCTGTGCATCCTCTTTTTTAAGTTTCAGAAGCCATGTAAAGATTAATCCAACTACATAGGTAGCAGCAAAATTATCCACAGCCAAATTGCCTCCTAAATGGATGCTCTTTAAAAAAAACAAACACTTTTATTGGGACATAATCCACGTATCATACAAGTCAATAGTTCAGTCATATCCAGAAGAGATGTACAATCATTACCACAATCAATCTGAGAACATTTTCTCCTTTCTTGTCCTCCTTGTTATTAATTCCCCATTCCCTGCCAACCTTCCCTTCCACACCCCCAAGAGACCATTCATCTAGTGCCTGGTGCCTGCTTCTTTTCTTTCTTTTTCTCTCCCCTCCCCCTCAGTCCCCAACACACACACAATTCGGCGTTGTTATTTGTTTCGATGCATTACATCCCTAGAAAAAGAAGCCCAGGGTTTTCCCTCATGTGTGTTTTCTCCTGGCTTCCTCGTGGTCCGTGATGCTGGCGGCGGTCGTCAGCACAATGAAGCCGAGCTGGCTGGGGGGGAACAGGTTGTTCTGCCACTTCCCTAAATCTCTGAGCTGCCCGTCTAATCTACGGCTGATCATGCCACACTAGTTTAATCTGCCCGTGAGGTTGACTACAATTTCCCCAGCTCTGTGATCATCGATGATTTCAAATTCGCCAATGTAGCCGGGCTGCATCATCACAGTTAGAAACCGGACAATGGCTTTGGAGCATGGCCCAGTAAGAACTTGGTGCTTGCCTCTCTTCTCGCCATGATTGATGCTCTTGAGAGCGTTCACGTGCACCATTACAGCAGCATGGAAAGAAGGTGGAAAGAGCCGTCCAGTGCCTGTTTCTATAGATTCACCCATCCTGGATTTCATACACGGAGAAACATAGAAAACAAAGGACAAGGAAACTAAAAAGCTAACAATGATAACAAAATTGGACATTTGTCTTGACTGGCTATTTCCCCAAGCTATCAAATATTCTGTAAGAAGTATTCTGTTGGTTAAAGTCCTATACACCAGGCAGATTTTTATATATTTTACATACAATGAAAGAATCCAGAAACCATTTTTTGTAAGAACACAAAGATGAAAAAAAAGTTCTTACCTCCTTGGGGAAGAAGGGCCCAAGAATAGAATAGGACATACTGCAGCCCAAGTTCATGGAGGCTGCTGATACCAGTGTACAAAGTTGTTCTCTTGAAAGCCACCTGGAAGACACTGCTGCCGTTTGTGGAGAGTCATCACCTGGAAATGCAAACAAGCATCAATTAAAGGCCCCAGGAGGGGAGCACTGGTGGGGCTGTGGGTAAGTATTGGGATGCCCACTATTCACACCCACCAGGCACTCCTCTCCATGGGGGAGAGATGAGGCTGTCTCCTTCAGGCTCAGAACCCTTACACAGGGGAGCTCTGGTGGCACCACAGGTCAGTGGTTCAAACCCAGCATCAGCTCCCCATGAGAAAGATGAGGCTCTGCCCCCTGGAAAGCTTCACAACCCAGGAAATTCTTTGAGTTGGAATGCACTTGCTGACAGAGAAGTAGGACCCCAGGAGGAGTCCCTGGGTGGCACAAACAGTTAAGGGCTGGGAAGGCTGGTAGTTTGAACCTGCCCAGAGGCACCTGTGAAGACAACCCTGGCCTTGTGCTTCAGAAAGGTCACAACCTTGAAAACCGCAGAGAGGGCAGTTCACCTCTGACACACAGGAGGTCACCCCATCTTGGAAGGGACTCAACAGCAACCAACACTGAGAACAAAGGTCCCAGGGAGCATAAAAGTTTGCTCTTGGCTTCTTACCAGGAAAGGTCTGGCAAGTCACTTCTGTAAAGATAATATCTCCCAAAGCCTGCAGAGTAATCCTACTGGGTAACATGTGGGGCCACTCTGAGTCAGAATCGATTCAATGGCAAGAGTTTTGGAACACGGACTAGCGATTCAAGTGCCCCGGTGTCATGTCAGTGCATGAGAAAATATTTACTAAGCCAAGAGCTGTTTTTAGAATACTACTTTTGATAAAATAGAATGTAATCTCTGTACACAGTTGCAACTTTGAAAACACGCACCTGTCACTATACTAGATTTTCAAAGCAGACTTTATCAAACCAGTTCATCTGGCCTGCCATCCGCATATGGTCCACTTCTTTTGTCTATAACTAATCTCTTCAAGAAGGATGCAGCAGTGGGGTGATCCCCCCCTCTTCCCAAAGTACTTGTTCTCTGAAGTATCATGTAATGTCCCTTCTCATGTTTTTCAAGAGCCCTCATGGGGCAATGGCTAAGGCTCCCAGTGGTGGGTGATCAAAGCCACCCTCACTGAAGTGACTTTGAAGAACAGATCTGTTGGTCGGCTCCTTGAAAGATTACAGTGCAGGTAAACCTAGGAAGGGATTCAGCCCCGTCTTACAGGGTTAATATGAGTTGGAATCAACTAAACACAACAACCTTCACGTTCTTTATGGACTCAAGAGTATTTTAAGCATGTATGGTTAACGATTTCTTAAGCTTTCTAGGACAATATGATTCTGGGGGCTCGCAGATTTCCAGTTGGGCTGTTAACCATGAGGTCAGCAGTTCAAAACCACCAGCTAGGTGTTCCTGGTGGTTTACAGTTTTAGAAAACCACCAGGGCAGTTTTACTGTGCCCTGCAGAGTCACTGCCAGTCAGAATCGACCAGATGGCAGTGAGGTTTTTGTTTGTTTGTTTGTTTTCTTGAGGAGGCATTGGGGCGAAGTGAAATGTAAATCATTCAAACGCTGAATTCATACCTAGAGTAGTATGACCTTTGAGACAAGACCCTCAAATCTGCTAGGCGGCCAGATAGGGAGTTGTCGCTCTCTATGCCCCTACAGGAGGTTGCTGCAAAACGTCAGGCCAGCCCAGCCACCCATAAAGGCCAGAGGGCATGCACAAATTCAGGCTCCAGGCCAAGAAGGAGCAGCACACCTAGGTGTGTGGTAAACCGGGGTGGGCCCCCATCTGAGCCAGGTGAGCTTAATTCAGCCAATAGGGTCAACCAGTACCGTTGGCCACGCCTCCCTTCAGAGGGCCCTGAAAATCAGGATCTGAAGCACACCACCTCTCTTTTTTTCCAGCTGCAACTGGGCCAGAGGAGTTGCGGGTTTCTCTGGCCTCAGGTTTCCACAAATGGGTGTGCAGTGCCCTGAGGGTGCCTGTGTAAAACCTGAAACTCCTTCAGTCCTTTATGAAAACCCCCTTGGATCACAAACCAGGTTCCAGTGTGAATTCTTGCTCATGTAAAGCCAAGGACCAAGGTATTTCCACCGGAGAAATGTAACAAACCCATTAGTTAACACTACATTTTCCATCCATTCATGTATTTCAAGGCTGAATTTTCATTTAACAGTAAAGTGAACACGGACATTTCTCAGAACATGAAATATCTATCCAGTACACTAACCATTTAAAAACGAAATGGTCGTGAAGGAGAGGGAGACGTGCTAGACATGGATTTGGTTTGCTCTGTTTTCTTCAGGTTGTCTTTGGGGCCCAGGTCAAGACAATCAGCCACAGCAATCCTGATGAAGCTTTCGGAGTAGAAGAGGAAGGGACAAATAGGGAAAGTTAAGCAAGGGGGCAGGGAGAAGGGGGGCGCGGAGTCAAGGGAGGTTCTGGAAACGAAAGGGTTAACGCTTTTCTCCAAGCACATTCATTCTCCAGTGTTTTCTGAAACCGACAGGTTCATGGGAAGGAGACCCATTAGCGACAACGCGTTCACGAACTTGAACCCCTCCGGAAGGTAGGTACCGAAAGCAGATCCGAACCGCAGAGTCAGGCGCCTTTGCGAATTTCTCGGAAACAAAGCTAGC